ACTCATCACGCATTTCAATTAAATTGAACTATAAAATAATTAATTATTTTAAATATGGAATAGATAGAATCGATTCAATTTGTGATTAAAAGGATTTGTGAATTAATCAATAATTTATTAATAATATTTTTTTATAAGTATTTTATTATAATTATTCATTATTTTAGATTATGTAGATTGACAATTTGATTTTTTAAAATAAATTCAATTTTAAATATTTAATTAATTTATTTATTATATAAATTGAAATTTTAATTTTCAATTAACATTTTTTTTAACAAAATAGATGAATTGTTTGATTATATTATTATAAAAAAAATATGGATCAAGTTAATCTATTATCTTTAAATGATTTGATTTATCTAATTCATTAATCCATAATAATTTTTTACTCTCTAAAATATAACTCGATGAGAAAAGGAAAATTTGTTTAGTATATAATTTTAGTTTATCTATAATCAATACGAGATGTTGAATTGGTACGAGAGACGGAAAGAAAGAAGAAAGAAGACAAAAACAACTTTACTTACAAGGGCAGAAAGCATATGATTTCTGTCCCAATTGCATCCTTTATTTCGTCTGTATATTGTATCAGATTTGGTCACTAGCCTTGTTTTATGCAGTATTCGACAAGACATGGTGATACACCTTATTCTCATACGTAGACTCAACATACTAAGCGTTTCGAACGAATTGATCGAGCGTCGGTCGTTTTCTCTTGTTTGGTTTTTTTTCGACCGTTCAATTCTTGTCGAGAATGTAATCATTTTGATGGGTTATTGAGTCGTAGAAGACACTCTGACGCTCAATAGTATATTTATAGCGGTTGTGACAGTCAAACACATTGATTAATCATTCGCGCAGTATATTTTTAGCAATCAAACCCAATAATCAATTATTTTAATATCGTATATTTAGAAAGCATAAGACAATCTAACCTATTAATATCTACTACAAATGACCATTAACTCCGATCGGTATATTTTATATAATACACTAACTAAGGATATGTCAGTAATTGCAAAAGTTTGACAAAAATTACAATTAGTTTTTAACTATAAAAGAGGATTAGCACAGATGGTTTTAAAAGAAAATAGAGAAACAGAACTTGAGATAATCCAACAGATAAACTATCCACTGATTCATCTGCAGTGCAGCAGAATTGAGAATAAAAGCATACTCGGAAGAACCAACAATGACAACAAAGACATCCATTATGTGACAAATGTTCCATATTAGTTCTTAATTGGAGTCAGAAAGTGAAACTAACACGTGGGTTCTGTTTTTTTTCGGACTTTTGAGGTGTTAACTTTGTTTTTAGGCTGTTGGAGCCTTCCCTCAAGGGTACTTGTTAAGCAAAAACGTCATTTTTCACTTATATTAAAATCACAACAAAACCAACTTATATATATTATTGAACCATGCTTCAGAACCATGCCACATTTAGACGTGTTCATCACAATTTAAAGGAGTAGTTAGAGCAGTGTTTATCAACATCCATGTTTCCAATATGACAGGGATGTCTTTTAAAAAGTATTTCTTTCTGATAAGATTCCATAATTCTTCTCCTTTATTGTTGCTTAATTATTTCTGTATAATAACCTTCGAAGAAGGAAACAAACCCAAATCCGACAAATAGCATGCTATAACCTCATCATCGACATCATTGTTACATCATGGCTTTATTAGTGATCAGTGTTCACCCTCTTCTCATATGTATGCTAAAAATACTCTCATGGAAAACATAGACAGCTCAGAACTTTCACACCAATCTCAAAACCAAAACAAGAATCTTTCTTTGATGGCTATTGAAATAGACAAGCCCTATGAGAAGAGAGTGATGAAGATTCCAAAAGTAGGAAAAAAGATTGAGAAAAAGTTTCTTGGGGTGAGACAAAGACCTTCAGGAAGGTGGATTGCTGAGATCAAGGATTCCTCACAGAAACTAAGGCTTTGGTTAGGAACTTTTGACAAAGCAGAAGAAGCTGCCTTGGCTTATGACTGTGCTGCAAGGCTTCTTAGAGGGAGAAATGCCAAAACAAACTTTCCAAACCCTGGAATCATGAACACTCATGAAGAAGACTACAGCATTTTGGGCAAGAATCCAAGGTCTTACCAACTTCTTAAGCATGCAGTTATGAAGAACCATGCACTTTCAGCATCTCTTTATTCCACATTCATGCCCAGCTGGAAAAACCAGATCATGCTGAGAGATGAACACGACACCCTTGTTGAGGAAACTATAGTTTGTTCCATTCCGGAACAAGGCTCTGCCTGCTGTGGAATTTCTTTCGGAAGTTCTAAGGTTTATTCTTCTGTTGTTGTAGCTCCTTCTTTCAGTGTTTCTTCTCATGATGAAACCCCCTAAGCCAGCATGTCTTGCTGCAATTATTGCTTGCTATGTCTTTCTTGACCTATTTTACTTCAGAAACAGATATCTTGTTATCTTCACTGCATATATGATATCTGTTACATGCATGCTATCACCAGATGATGATGATGATGATGATGATACACTCACCATGTGATGCAGTAAGTATTATTTTCTTGTTTTCATAGAACTCTTCTTTTAATATCTTCCCTTCAAGAGTCTATATTTCGTAACTACTTTGTCTAGTTATCACTCAAGAGATTTAATTTAACATCTTCTCTTCAACTTTTATGAGATCTGCTTCCTCTTAGAAAATATTTTTCATGTCTGCTTTATAAATTAAAATGTAATTATACAATGGATATTTAACCTCATAAAAAATAGAAATTTGTTCATCTTCTAATAATTTATATTTTTTCTCAATATGTTCTTTCTTTTCATAACATCTCTGGAACTTGGTCTTCTTGGTAATCAAATATCTTCACGTAAGCGAGATGCTGCAACTCACCTTTAAAGATCAATATTCGTATCCAAAATAAGTCTGTAATAACCACTAAATATGTCAAATTTTTAGGTCTTGTTTATATATGCATTAAAAATATTCGTATTATCTTGTGAAAAAAAAAATCATATTAGCAAGAATTAATGCTGTGATGTAGTTAGCTCAACAATATATTGAAAAATATAGACACGTATCTTATATTCGTATTCATATTTTAAAGCATCCCAATTTCATGTAGAAAGGGAATAGGAAATAGTTAATTTAATCATGTGTTCAGAAATCCAACACTTTTCTCCTGTTAAAAGTTTGTAGCAATGTTTGTTGTGGTATGGTACAAACAGAAGAGAAGTATATTAATAAATAATGAAGATAAAATCGTAGCAAAATAGTTGTATGGTTGCAGAATTGTTATTGAAAATTTCAAATTTCTGGAAAAAAAAAATCATGTTATTATGAACCGATTAAAAATGATAAAAACTTTATATTCCGATTTTTTTACAAATAGTGTGTATCTTTCGTAAGAAAAAAAATTCTATTCAAGCGGACTAATACTATTAAAGATAGCAAAAAAAATTAAAAAAATATTCTGGATTCAAAATCACGTATTAAAGTAAAACAATTAATGATATAAGTATTTCATTATCAAGGTTAAGGCACCCCACCTAAGGCACCGATCGAAATCTGGTTTATAATTTAAGGGAGTTACTATTATTATAATTAACCCGAACTATTTGATTGATTACCTTAAATTTGTTTAAAGTAAATAGTTATGATGATAACACATGTTCCACGAACCAAGGTATAGACATAGACACAACTTCGAGCTGTTATACATAATCAAGAGATGAAAAATGCTAAAATCACACAACCAAGAGAGCTAAAATCTATTTACTCAATTTTCATTCTAACTCCTCGTCTATGATTATTACTATCCCGATTGGTCATACCAATAATTCTTGTTTTTTTATAAATTTTTCTTAGTAAATAGCATCACTCTTTAAATTCTTGGAGTTATGGAAGTTGATCCTGGAGAAATCAGTTGAATTATTCGTTCCATCATGATTAAGATATACTATAATAATACTTCATAAACTTACAATAAGCACTCTTCAATGATCACTTACTTCAACATTTTAGTATTCAGAAGTTAACAAATTTGAAAAAAAAAAGCTTTTAAATGAACTGTTTCCTTATTAGCTTCGATCAATTTGACTTCCTTGTTGTCTTCGATCACACGGTAATGGAGGTTGTCCCCAAATCTGTTATTACAAGTGTAGTTTTAGTTTAGGTGAAGCTTGATATTGTGGTCAAACATCTAACCTTTCACTATTGTTTCTAAATTTTAAAAAAAAATTATAACAATATTATGTGTCGAGATCAATTATAAAAAAATAAAATTATTTGAACATTTTGATAAACTTTCTTTTTTGGTTGGTGGACAAGATAGGCATAAATTAGCTGAATGCATTTGGGTCCTAATGACATTCATTTTTGCTTTCATGCATGCTTGATTCCCACTAAACTTCACACAAAAGACATAAATAGAGAAGTTTCTTATAGCACTTATTCACATAATGAATCTATTAAAAAGCTTTCTTTTGATACAACTGTGCATAAGTTACAAGTTTTCGTCATTATCACCATTTTATAAACGACAAAAGGTCATTGTCATGGAGTTTGGCATCTCGTATGGGTCATTTTCTTTGGTAGCCACCATACACCAATAGCAGCCACTGCAACCGCAAACCCTCTTCTTAAAAACTATCCTTCTTATTTTCACCCTTACAATCATCACCACCTTCGATTTATTGCCCCAACATATAGACACCATTAGCATTAGCATTAGCATTATATATATATATATATA